CGAACTCTTTCATCGGGCTACAAAAGAAAATTTGAGGAGATAAAGTGGGAGGATAAAGCTATAAGATAATATACAATTTGATATGTACGTAAATATTTATCTACACACAGCCTTTTTAAATGCCTTTAAAGTTGACCTTCTGTTATAAAACGGTCAAAAAGATACATAGTACATTCGATTCAAGGGTTCACAATGCTGAATAAAGCTTAACGTCATGACACCAAGGTTACATTTTTAAAAAGAGTAAAGGACCATCTGCTAGCATTCGATTTAGCAAACCGGAAATACTTCGTGTTGTGGAAAGATGAAGAATTTTTCCGGTGTCTTTACGGGGGGAGGAGGGAGGAGGGACGGTAGTCTAGCTGTATCAGTTTAAACTTTTAGAAAGCAAAGCGATGTGATTTTTTTGTGTAACTTTGGAAAAGAGTTCATCTGAAGGGTCCCTTCGCAAAATGAAATAAATTATTACATTTTTCAACGAAGGATCTTGATTGTACATGTATCACAATAACATTTACCTGATCCCCCCCCCCCCTTAGTATGTTAATGATCCCTCCTCACTGGCAGTTGCAATTTATATGATCCTCCGTCCCAGGGATGTTATGTGCAAATATCAAAAATAAAAATCTACGCAGATAATTGCTTTTATTATATAAGTGTAATAAGTTCGACATAAAATAGATCAGGAAGTTACTTTCCTAGCTATACGATTACCGAGCTTGTTGAAATGAAATTTTAGCTTTCGATACATGTTTTCTTCATTCTACCAATGCAATATAATTGATTAAAGCTGTAAGAAGAACATAGCAGGCGGTGTGGCCAGGCTCCTGAGGGAGGGAGGGAAGACGGAAAGAAGGAAAGAAGTCGGGAAGAGAGGGTGAATGGGAGAAAATAAACACACATTTCTATAGTCCACCTTTATACTGTATTTTATACTCCATTGGCGACGACTGATTCCCCCCCCGTTCCCCGTGAGAACAATTTGATCTTCCATGTGATCCACCACCTCCCCCCCCCGCTCAGGTGATAAATAATGATCTGGCCCTTAGAGTTTTGTGATGTTCTATCTTCTCTTGATCTTTTTCACTTCTTCTGTATCAAATTGGGAAACCACGTTGATTACGCAATCTTTACTACTACTGTTATAATTATTATAATTATATCATTATTACCTTATTTTTATTTCATTACAATTCTTTTTCTACATATTCACACGACGCCTAGTGGTGTGTAGGACGTGTGTGTTATATGAACCTACCAATGGCTTACCGTGAAATAGAGCTGTCTTTAGCTTAGTAATAGAGCTTCAGGCCACGCACTCCAAAGGTCTGGGATGTTTTAAATCTCAAGAAACTGATAAAATGAAATATTTATCAAGACTAGTAAAGAGTATGGAAGACTGAATTTATGGATCTTTAAAATTTACCAACGCAGCCAAACAACTGTCAGTTTCTTCGGGAAAATGGTCAACTTCTCTTCCTTTTATTAAGGCTTTTGACTTTATCAGTAACGCCAGACTGTGAAAAAATAAAAAAAATTTGGGCTAGAAAAAGTCCAAAAGGCAATGTTTTCTTTAAAAAAAACCCTGTATCTTTTTTATTTGTTATATTTTATGACTTTTAGGTTGAAAACAGACATCTGAAGAGCTGAGATACACCTCGATACACTTAGGCTATTAAGCTTATCGTCAAACTAAATGATGAAGATGACAATGGGACTTATCATTTAACAATTCGTTTCAATCCTTAATCTTCGTTGCTGATTATTGAAAATAGCTTTAAAACTACTATTTTGTAATGAAATATCTATATCCAAGTCATCTTCTCTCACGTTCATCGTAAACACAAACACAGTAAAAGAAATAGATCTTTTTCATGGGCCCTCTCTAGCAGCTTAGAGGTGTTATTAGTCTCAGTGCATAGTGTTAGTAACGTGTCAAGACTCCAAAGAGTTTCGTTCCAAAGTTTTCTGTGTCAGTTACCAGAAAATTATAATAATTTGATCAATTGAATGTTATCAAGTTTACTAAGTTTATTTAGAAATATTCGCTAACATTACATACGTAGGATACACTAGCTTGCAAAAAGCAATACTTAGTTTAGGCGAGTAGTTTATGGTTTTCTTCCACTATTATTGTGAAACAGGTCCGAAAAAGGCAAAACAAAGCCTACAAGAAAATTCGAATACGATACATGGATATGAAAAAATGATTACATAACGAAATAGGGAAATTTTCAATCGAGTGTTGGAAGTAATCCTAGATTACAATGGTTTTGCGTGACTCCGCACTGTGATTGATCCAGAAAACCTCGCACCACTACGCACTCGCACAAATCCGGTGCAAAATTAAAATCAAACAGCGTTTTTCCGTGTGTTTAGCAATTGGCTTGTCATAACTTTGAGCTCTCATTGGCTCTTAAAGTATTTGCCTTTCTTCTGATTGGTCTTTGCGTTAATTTTGGTTTTGTTTGTGCGACACTCAAATCAAAAGGCGCTCTTAAAACTGGATAAATACATGCCGGAGTTACAGTAGTATTTGAAAAGGAAAATAAACTTACCAATATGTGTTAAGTTTTGATTACTAATATACATATTTTAACGTATTAAGAGCCATTTTCCGAGAAAATCGAAAATCGCAAGACACTCGTAAAAAAATTGAATTTTTTTTCTTTTGCCAAAACATCCCTTTTAGTGACCTAATTCAAGAAAAAATAGTTTTGGGTTCGAGCGATTCATCGTACGGGAGAAATAACAAATAGTTTGAAAAATCGTTTTATTGCTGTCTTTTCGCGCTTAAAAACAACAGAATCCGACCGCAACTTCGAGAAAACGGTGAACGCATAAGAAACAATCCCTAACATCGAAACTTCAGCCGAGTATTATTTCGTTCTTAATCTTTAAAATCCTAAAAGAAAATTTGGAGAAAGAAGTTTTTAACATTTACAATCGACAAGTTTAAAAAGGTCGTATTTGTGTCTCTTGAAATGTTAGAAAATGAAAGCGAACTTTAACCGTTGTAAAAGCCCTCTGGTATATGCCGCTTCCTAGTAAAACCCATATAGAATAAAGCCTTGGCTATTGAAGTAAATTACAGGAACGTTTTAGCTCTGGAAATTAAATACAGCCCTGACACTGGAGTAAGCAATTTGAGAATTTAAGTTAATAAACTTTATGCAAATTAGACGGCCCGCTCAATGAATTCATACTAAATGCAAAGTTTAGTGTAAAAGGACTACTTACTGTTGCTTGTAATATGTTTTTACAGTGAAAATGTTATTTCTAGCTTTCAGCTGTGTTGGTAAGAGCCGTAAATAACTTTTTATATGACGACTGAAAAACGTTTGTTTAGCTACTTTGCTACCAGCGAAATCATTCGAACTGAAGCTGTCATCGCTTGACGAAACTCCGTTACCACAATTTTAAAATAGTTTTCTTCAGGGGGAAAAAGCAGAATTAAAATGCATTCGAAACCGTTGACTTCGATTTTGAATTCGTTTAGTTAAGATTTCAAGCCATCACAAGGTCTTATGACCTCTACTGACCCGGAAATCGGTTACATGCCAAGGTCACGTTAGCAAACTGTCACGAAATACTCAATAGCTTCTGTTTTCGGCCTTTGTTTTGGTAAAAAAAATATATAAACTTTTCACAGAACAGACCTTCTTACTTTATTTGATTTATATATTTGTATTGGTCTGAACACATGCATATGCTGACCGGCAGTGAAAGACATTCATCACAGTTTTTGATTCAGAGTGGTATAATATTTCCCAAAATATTTCAAACACAAATGTTTCCTTAATAAGTTCGTTATTCCCGAATTTCCCACCTTGCAATAATCCCTACAGCAAAAAAAGAAAAAAAAAAAAGCATAAAAGTCAACTTTATAGCTTGCTTTAGTTTTGTTTTGGATTTTTTTTTAATGATTTTTCCTCCGAAACCAGGAAACCCTAACCAGGTAACTAGAAATTCTCAGTTTCATTTAGAGCTTGTCCACAACACAACTTCAAACTTGTGTGTGCTTATCGCATCCTTAAAACCTTCCAGACCTCTTCAAAATTGTTGAAAAGTCTATTGAGGCTAATAATAATCTTTGAGTTAACTATGACCAATTCACGCCGCGAGCGCGAGAAAAAGAGAACCACTCCGCAGGGCTGAATACGCGATGTGGAGTGTTATAAAATTCCACATTCTCGCGCGTAACGCTTTCTCTAGAGACCTCTAGAAGTGTTGTTTAGCGAAGATAAAAAAAAGTTATCTTTGGTTAACTCAAAGAACTTACAGAAATACCTCCAGCCTGCATAAAAGGCGCTTTATGAGCCAAGCGAGGCGAAAGTGGCATTTTGCACGAAGCGCGAGAAGCGACGAGGAGAGGAGAAAAATAAAGCTTTATTTTTCTCCATCCCTCGTCTCGCGCTTCGCACTCGTTTCGTGCTTCGAGCAAATGCCGCGTTCGCCTCGCTTGGCTCATAAAGCGGCTGTTATGCAGGCTAAAATACCTCTTCACATTTATAAGATAAGGTGTCATTGATTTGTCAGAGCGGGAAGAGACATTTATAACGTGCAAATAGTCACGAGCTGAAAGGTAACTGACTGATTTGTAACAAGGACTCACCCTGACAAACAAGAAATGATCTCACTTTCCGAAAAGGAACGCTCTTTTAAACATAAACAAACTTCAAAAATAAGTAAAGGAAGCAAAACAATGAACAAAATAGATTTTTTCTTGACTTAGTTATTCCGGCGAGAACAAATGGTGAATGATTCACTCCTGGAAGCAAGCCTCTGAGGAGAAGTGAGAACACCGTTTAGGCAAAACTCTACAATTTGTGTACTTTACTAGCCTGTTCACAGACTCTCTTCATTTTTAGATATCGTCGAGTGCACGTATAAAAAAAAAAGCGCCTTCCGCCCTCTCTCACGAGCAATCGCTTATCTTGTGCGCGCACCAAATTCCCAAAACAGAAAAACGTCTGTGAGCAGGGTAGTACTTTCTGTTTCTACATATTTTTCCCACGGAGCTGGCAAGTGCAATTAATGACGCCTTTTTTCAGCAGGTCAACGTAGAGCGCTTTGCGGCGAACAGGCTTGGGAGGTACTTCTAATTCTAGTTGCTGACAAATGTTTTGAAGCATTCCAAGTTTAAGTCGCTCCAGAGATCCTCCCTTGGCCATGGCACAGATATCGTGCTGATCGTAAGTGATGGGGTGCTGTAGCGTGATGGATAGGATTGTTTCTCTTGCCATGGTAAAGTTTTCCTCTTCTACTACAGCTTGGATTTCAGCATCGTCGGATGTTTGCCGTCGGACCTTCGCTGCAAGACGTGAGAAATATGAAGTGCACTGCTGCGGGGTAAGAAACTCGGATACTTTGAACAAACGAACACCATCAGGTCCTTGTGCACGTCTCATTTCACGTGATACGATATCACCGTCCAGTTTTCTGCCGCTGGTTTGACCAATTGTAAACTTCGCATTTAGATAATCCCTCTGGTTTTGGTTAAAGCGATATGCTTTTTTGCTCGGCTTTAGCGCCCATCCTTCTTTTATCTCTACTTCGCCGGATGTAGCCTCTCTTGTATCCCTAAAAGACGCAAACGAAATAACTTGACTGGTCGTGCCCTCCTCCAACCTGGACTTGTAGTCTAGTTTGGCAAGGTCTAACAAAGACCGTTTCTCTAAAGACTTGGTGCATTTCTCTAAAGATAGGTGTTTTTCGAGAGAAGACAGCCTTTGAAAGACCTTAACACACCCATCCTGAGGGCAGGTAAACACGGATGACGATTCATTTGTATTGTCAGTGGGATCATGAACCTGCTCCACTTCCGTCTCTTGCTTCTTCCTTGACTGAGTCGGTTTTGGGCTAAGGGGTTTAAAGTCTCCAGAAGAAAACTCAGATGAAAGCTAACCAATGCCATGCTCTGAAGTAGATAACACATAAAGAAACAAGATTTACATTAACAGCACTGTTCACCTACTTCAATACTTCACTCTGCACAGCCTGTGAAGAGTGCCCCTTTGGTCCACTTTGCTGCGCGAACAGATGAAACGTTTGCTTTTTACATCTTATGACCGGACATGTTCTTCAGAACCGCCATATTCTGCAATGTTCGTTTTAAAAATTTTGTAGAACAAATCAAGGACTATAAATTTATAAAGGTTCTAAGGGGCTTAAGTCTTTTACAAAGCAAAACCCCACGGGGTGGCAGACACCCGCTCCTCCTGCGCACCAGGATGGGAAATGGATGCCTTTCATGCGTCTGAAGGCTATAACAAACGATAAACGTACACCTTTTTACTCAAACTATAAAAAAATATATATTTGCGCGATGAAATAATTCTAAAAAGGAAGAATTGTGAATTTTCATTAGACTAACCTTCTGATGTTGTTTCCAATGGGATCTTTTTTCCTTTCCCATACCATAAGCGCGCCAAGCTACGAGAATTTCGTCTTTAAACTCGAAATTGTTTAATTTGTTGATACCAATAATCTTTCTGTTGTCATCTACTACTGCTTCCTCTTCAACACTTTGCATGACAGCAACTCGAACTCCTTCTATCCCCCCATGCGAAAGAAGAGCACTCTTCAGTTGTTCGGCATTGGTCACGTCATTTCCTTCGTTTATGAAAGTCCTGACGTGATTCTTGCAGGTTGCAGCGAGCCTGTCTGCGGCACCTTTTCCACCCTGTGGGTCAGAAAAGTCAATGCGCTTGATTTCGATGCCGGTGGAGGAGGATATCACTGGGCATGAGAGTACGGTGGACGACGAATGATAACATCCTGCGTTATCTTGGCGAAAGAACGCCTTGTTAATCTCACTGTGCTCCAGCTTGATGGTATTCAGGACATCCTGCATGATTTTAACCACTGCAGCACTGCCTTGATTGCACGACTGGACTATGTGCAGAAAGCTCTTCCATTGGAGTACCCCGCTCACACGACGGTAGACGACAGAAACGTGCCAGGCGATACCTCGCTTACCAAACCAGTCGGTTTGGGACTCTCTGTATTTTTGTGGCAGGAACTTCATGGCCCAGTCGTTAATTATCAAGACAGTGTTGTCGTCAAGTTTCTCCAGTGCATCTATTCTCGCTTGGTCTTGGTTAGCTGATCTAAGGATGTGGCATTTCCAGGACATTATGGCCAGCTGGGCTGTCTGGAATATAAATAGCGCTTCGTCTTTCGCGTCCTGAGTCGGAAAGGTCGTCTCGCCAAGGACCCGTTCAATCTTTGCCAGAGTTTCCTGAAGACTTTGACAACGGTCACAAAGATCAGTGTGTTGGTGACTGCATTGTTGCTGGTAATCTGCATCACTACTGTCGCTAAGAGCAAACAACACACAATGGTCTGCTACGTTAGAGGGGCTTGTGACATGAACCTGTTGATAAAACAAAACTGAGATTACTGTTTGTCTGTGCTTATACTTCAATATAATAGTTAATCAAATGATTTTTTAATCTAACATATATTATTAACGTAAGGGGCGAATAACTTTAACCTTAACCTTAGAAAAAAAAACTATCCTCGTGCGCGCATTGTTAATCTCGAGAATTTATGTAAGCTAGTTACACGTGCACCATTTAGTGAAGAAAAAGAGTACAAAATATATATTTGTTTTACGGAATGATTTTGTTGACGAGGTAAAATAAGTACTTACTTTTAGTTTTATTCAAGCTGTCTTTCTGGAGTCAGAATTCACATTACCTTATAGTCCCCCTTCAAATACTGCTTGCTTGTCATAAGAGCTTGCACAACTGTAGTCTCCCACTCCTTGCCGGAACCTAATCCCCCTATTTGGCGTACGAGGGCCACGAGATCATCAAATGCGCGAGCACCTTCAGCTGCAAAATAATCTAAGCCCTGCAGTGATTTTCTTACAGAGGCACTGCACTCAAAGAGTACCCGTCTCATAGTAGTTTCGCTGAATGGTTTGAAGTTGATCTCCAAACAGTACTGAGTGTACTGTTGTATCACTCGCTCGGGTATCATCATACGGATTACGTTAGGTACTTGAATAACCTCACCAGACGAAAGCTTGAGATGTTTTTGCCCAAATGGAAGGTCCTGAACAAGATGCGGGCTCGTGATGAAACCAAGAAAGTGGTCAAGCTGCCTCAAGTCTACTCGTATTCGTGTGGTAGGCTGTTGTGGAACTTGAGCGCCTCGGCCAAACTGTGATCGATGAAGATTAGCCATGGAGTATCGGTATCTTGTCAACCCCGGGATATAACGGAAAGTGTCGTTGAAAGTTCCAACCCCTGCCATAATCGAAAGCACTTGTCTACGGGTATCCCAGCTGGTTGCATTCTGGTACACTTCTGCTAGGGCCTCTAAATACAAATGCTCTGAATGTGACAACTCGCTTACACCTAGGGCCTTGTTCATAGCCGTAGAAGAGGCTAAACGTCGCCAGAGTTCACCAGCATTATCAGGGGTGACGCTCTTTAGCACAGTTGCTACTATTTCTGTGGCTCTCCTTGTTTGACGTTGTCTTGTTCGCTCAGAGGAATCACTCCAAGAAAGCCATGGCTTTCCAAGCGGTTCAAGTTTGCATGCTGCCAGGAACTCACTCAGCTTTTCGCGCGGCTCATGTAAGATCACAGTTGTGGGCTCGTCACTCTGAGTGGAAGCTGTGCTTATTGTGTCTGGTGACAGAAAGGTGTCATCAGCGATTGTTAGACGTCCAAGGCTTTCTGCGAACTCTTCAACAGATTGACCGGTATCACTTTGTCCTGGAGATGAGTTTGAGCTGTTCTGTAACGTACAAAAAAGACGTTTAGACATCAATGTTACTTCAATATTTCTGTTTATTTTATCACTAGGCATTAGTTTTTTTATTATAGTTCGAAACTTAAGTTATACATCATTTTAAAAAAAGAAAATATGAATTTACATGCATACCGCTATCATTATCAATACTCCCGCTCCAGCCAGACCGAAAGGAATTTAAAGAAACGAACAGTGACCTATTCGTCTTAAAATCATTTTCAGAGTCATTTTCAAAGTTTACAGTTATTCACAGTTACCCAGCCCTTTCGGAATTTTGGCATTTGTTATGTTGGAATAACTGTCTGTATCTAAGGTTACCGTTTACTTACTTACATTTGCTTCTGAAGTCTCTAGTTCTACGCATGGAGTAACTTCAATCATTGGTGCGGGTGTCACTTTCTGTTGTTGGTTTGTCTCCGCGAAATGTTGCTTGCACATTCTGCAAAGAGCTGTAGCAAAAATAAATGTTGACCTTGTTAAAAGGCCATCGCCGATTTCTTTACTATTCTTCAAAGCCATTTTCTTCTTTGGGGGGAGGGGAACAGGAGAATAAAGGGTATTGTAACGCTTGCGCATATGTTGCTTTACGCCCTCGCTCGTTTAAAATTAAAGCGTATACTTTAGCTACAAATGTGTTACGATAAACTTACGCGATCCAACTTGAATAAGTATTCCTTCAGTGTTTAAAATAAATGCAGATAGAACGCTGTCCAAATGCCGATCGCCTTTGACCGAGGCTGTTTTGTGAGCAGCTATTTCTAGTGGAATGCTACACTTCACTTTTGAGGATCTCCAGCGCATACCAAATTCCGCTCTGTGGCGAGGGCATATTGTCAATGACAAGTGGGACTCTTCCACTGCAAATACCCCTAAACAAAGGTAAAGGGAAAATTATCCATTGCATACATCACGAGCGAGTTGAGAGGCTCGTGTGCTAGGAGATCTCGAGGTCCCCTTTTTCATAAAAAAGTCTTTAAAGTCTGTGTATCAGTGACAGGTGTGTGTGCGTGGGTGGCGGAATAAAGATCTTTTTTGCTATCGTAAGCGTTAATATTAGGTTTGCAAAATATTAACGCCGCGGATAAAAGCCTGCGATTTTTAAAGAGATGAACTCGTTTGCTTATTGTTCTTGCAAGCAGGATACAAAAGAGTGGTACACAAGTACTGGGGACAATAATTTTGTCAAATGGAAGGGGACATTTCGGTTCGACCGACCGAAATAGCCTGACCGACCGAAATAACCTGACCGGTCAAAGTGGACCAGCTTCAAAGGCGTTCCCAAATATTCTGGTAGGACCGAACCGAAATGGTCCATTCCATTTGATTTCTAACCGAAACTTGCGGAATTTTGGGCTGAATGGAAAGCACCCGAAGATTTTCTTAGAATAACATGACCATCGTGAGGTCTGTGATAAAGAGATGATGGAAATGTACGCCACTATTAGCCGCTACGTAAGACGGTAAGACGGTACATAAGATTTACCTGCTCTTGCTAACAGCAGTTTCCATTCAGTGTCAAGTGCTGTATCTGCTTTTAATCCATACAGCTCACAGTGCCTCGAAATGTCCCTTGTACAATTTCTTAAAGCGAGAACTTCAACTTGGCCTGGATAATCGGTGCTTAAACCACAGGGTGTGGCGTCGTGTAATAAACCAGAAAAACTACATGAGTGAAACGTTGCCGAAGCCATGACAAAAAACAAAGCTCTCCCAACAAACGAGACAAACTCCACTAACGCTGTTTCGGTATTCGTAATAATAGACGGGAATAATTCAATTAAAAATAATATCGTAGAGGCACGTGCAATAGTAAGTGGCGAAACAGTTCGTGACAATATATAAATTTTATTCCAGGAGCATTTGACCTGGAAATGTTTTATTAATATTGTTCCTAGAGTCGAATATTTCTACACTGATGATCTGTAAACAGACGTACGGTTGTACATTTTTTCATTGGGACAGCTGTAATTGCTTCTTTGTCTGTTTACATTGTGTACGAAGTATAGCACGTACCGTCATATGCGACAAGCTAGCGTGACCAATCTCTGCACGTTTGCTAAATTACAAGTCATATGATCTTGTTATCCCGTCTAGTATCTGATTTGTTCGCTCAATAAGAATAATACTCACCTTGTTAACTGTGTGGTTTGAGCAGTGGTTAATTTTCATCATTGTATGTTATTTTCGGACCAAAACATAATCGGGTTTCATTATTATTAAAGCGTCTGATAATGCGTAATAAGCGCTGCGTGGGAAGTGTTTAGATAGCTCAAGCGCTCAAGTTGCTGGACACATTTTGGTCAAAATCAGGTATGGATGAGTTGCCACTTCACAGGACAAACAGATTGAGAGATGGATTTAACTTCTATCGCAACAAGCAATGGTAAGTTGTTCGTTCAACAAAACTTTGCGTTAAAAATATGAATTCATTCAGCGGGCCGTCTAATTTGCATAAATTTTATTTACTCAGATACTCAAATTGCTTACTTTAGTGTGAGGACTATATTGGATTTCCAGAGCTAAAACTTTCCAGTAATTTAGTTCAATAGCCAAGGTTTTATTCTATATGGGTTTTAGTAGGAAGCGGCATATACCAGTGGCCTTTTACAACAGTTAAAGTTCGCCTTCAATTATTAACATTTCCAGGGATACAAATTTGACCTTTTTAAACTTGTCGATTGTAAATTGTTAAAAACTTCTTTCTTCAAATTTCTTTCAGGAAATTAAAGAGCAAGTACGAAATAATACTCGGCTGAAGTTTCGATGTTAGGGATTGTTTCTTATGCGTTCACCGTTTTCTCGAAGTTGCGGTCGGATTTTGTTCTTTTGAGTACGAAAAACCAGCAAAAAATCGATTTTTCAAACTTTTTGTAATTTCTCCCGTACAATGAATCGCTTGAACACAAAATTATTTTTTCTTCAATAAGGTTACTAAAAGGGATGTTTTGGCAAGAGGAAAAAAAATTCGTTTTTTTCACGAGTGTCATGCGATTTTCGATTTTCTCGGAAAATGGCTCTTAAATAGCTAGTTTTTAAATATCGGTTATACGTTTAAAATCTCAAGATGCATGGGCCAAACTAGTGGAACATTTTGTTACACATTTCTGCATTGCGGATGTGTCATGTTCTTGCTCCTTGTTGGAAAGACCAAAATGACAAGAAGATATTTTTAAGCTAACATCTGCTGCGAGATGTAAGGAGAAACACAAATAACAATTCTGAGAACATTTTCAATTAAAAAAAAAAATAGCAAAAATAGTTCACGCTAAAACATTTAAGGAATTTACAACTTTTCGGATACAATTTCCTCATTTAAAGTTCCGAATAAACTGTGAAATAGGCATGTTTTCATCGCCAATACGTCCGTTGGTGTGTAAAGTTGCAAGAGAATCCAGTCTGCCCAGAAAAGTCTGCTTTAGTTTCTATCCTTTATCATGGGAGGTTATCGAAGTAATGACTTGTAGTCTTGCCCATTTACTTCCATCATGGATTAGTTTCGTGTTGCGTTGTACTGACGAGTTTCGCTTCTCTTTTCTTATGCAAACGGGTTAAACTCAACAAAATAATTCTCTTACTCCATTTCGAATATCATTCATTCTCCATAAATAAAGAACTGGGTTGATTGCAGAGGACAGAAATACGAACACTATTGTCACCCTATAGGCCGAATATGTTTCTGAGGTCCTCTTGCCGAAACCAAAATGTATCACAACCGAGATAACATATGGAAAGAAACATAAAGAAAAAGCCAACACAACATATACCAATGTCATTACAGATTTCTTGTATTTTGCTACGTTTATCGCCGATCTACCAAAATTATGCATTGTTGTGTTATCTTGGATTTGCCTCTGATGTCGACAAATACTTCGATAAACGTTAAAGTTTGCTATTGTCATAACAAGATAACAGGTCAGTATATTAGCAATGAATATGAATCGTAGTGAACGTCCATAACCAATTTTTACATTCTCTAGAACACGAAGGATAACTATGAGACTCGCAGCCAACATCAGTGCAATGACTGTGAAACATGCACGGCGCTGTGTAAAGAATTCGAACGATCGGTGAGAAATAACTAGCCATCGTTCAATGGAGATTACTGTTAGGATTAAAACGGTGACAGCAATAAAATACATCCCACTTCCCTCGCCAATCGTACGTAAGGCTGTAAGGAGTCTTGCCGAGTCGTAAACCACTGTTGAATTCATTGAACACATCAAAAACGTTACAGAATAGAAAGGTTGGGCGACGATTCCCGTACACAAATCAGTGAAAGCCAAACCACTCAGAAGTATATGAAATGGTGTCCTCACAAAATTATTCCTCCATACCGCTGCTAAAATCATCGCATTTCCCGCCACTACCACAGGTGGGAGTAAAGCTATGGCAATAGAAGTCGAGAAGAAAACGATACGAGGAAAGGAGTCACTCCCGTCTTTGTTGAAAATATGCGAGTTGCACGGCGTGAGCAAGCTGCTTTGATGCTGAGAAAATAAACTAGAGTTGTTGAACATTTTTTTTGGTGGGATGAGTATTTCAATCGATCTGTTTTCTTGATAAACGTCGAGGAGATGAAAGATGTAACTTATTTCCTGACTTTGACGACCCTTGAGTGACTTTCTTTAAAAAAGAAGGTGCCTCCTTAGTATTCTTAGGCAAATAAATGTCAAATAACTCATAATGTTTACTAATAGGATTTCAATGAGTGGTTTTTTGGCAATTTATGAAACTTTACAAATTTTTTTGAAGCAACGTTGACAGCAAACGCTAAATGTAATTAAAACTGCTTCTATATTTGTTTTTCTTGAACCGTACACTCAAAATAAACATTCGGTAAAATTCTGAGTGAAATTGTGTTGACCTCCCGATAATAATTTTCTCGCTGGATTCCAAATAAATCGTATCACCGCAATTTGATTGCTTATAACAAAAGAGCAAGATAAATGAACTTTGCAATTCTATGACACAAATAACTAGTTGGACCCTTGACTTAAATGTCAGTTATTTCACATCATTCATTACAGACCGTAGGTTGACATGAAATCAAGAACTTGAAAGAATCAACCTGTTTTGATGTATCAGCAACAGATTCGTGAAATGCATTGAACGACAATCAGACTGAAAAAGACATGATAAGACCCAGGATAAAAAGCGAAGCTGAAGATTCGTATTGAAAAAGAAAACGCCCCAAATTCAGTTTATTATTTTTTTGAAAGGATCGTCAGTCATGACACAATACTTAAATTCATTAACTCCAAAACCCTATTAGTTTTATCAAAAAAATCGCTGTGACACTTGAAATTTTTTATCAAAAAGTTTAAAGGGATGATCCAGGTGTAATCTCGCCAAACAACTAGATCTTTACCAATGTTGTGACAACGTTCGAGGGTGTCCTAACATTTCGAAGACAAAAATAGTCTCAACAAATATTTTTTCTCGTATTTGATGTTTTGGGCACCCACTGACTCGTATTTTTTCTTACTGATTTTTTTCATTATTGATTCAGTTATCTTTACTTTCGATAAAATCCATCGCCAATAAAATTCATACCTTTAAATTTAGACTCAAGTCTTAGATATGAGTAGACCTTCATTTTTAGCGCTGCAAGACACGCGTTTCTCCGTCTCTCCAGTAATGGCCTGTGTGAACCGCTATTTAAAACTCCAGCTGGAATGTAAAAACGTGGACCATGAGGTAACAAGTAAATGTGACATACACGGACCGCGGAAAAAGGAAGACAAAGAAAATAGGTCTAGGGGTCTTGTGGTAACAAATTCCTTGGTTTTGGTCTTTTTGTTCTCGTTCCCTTTTTTGCCGTGGTAATTAACTCGTTTTTGATAAAATCTATCAAACATAAGGATAATTGAGACGATTCCTCAGTATTGCACTATGCATTCTGTGCCTCACACGTCATCAGGCGAATAAGCAGGTGCGCATTATGAGACATGGTATTGTTTTCCAATCAATGGACGAGGTAAACAGGTACGATGGTTAGATGCTCTTCAAAGAGCACGGTGACCTGTACTTTTTATTGCATAATTTTGCTGGAAAAATTATCCCCTTTAAATAAGAGAAATTAAAAAAATTATTGGAGGAAAAAAGATACGACTAAAAGTGCACACGAAGCCTGTTGCCCGAGGATGCAATCATCTCTTGACGACTGGAACGTTCTAAAACTACGCGATTTTCCACAAGTTATATATTATATTGTTCCATACACTCTAGACTTTCTATCCATCAAGTCTTTTGCAGGCGTTACTTTAAAACCTCAGCTTCCAGCTACCACAAAATGTACCGTGAACCGATAAACTATAGCGTGAGAGATTAGTACCATTAGTATGGTTTAGATTAGTAAAGCCATAAGATTGGCTCAGCACAACGCAGGCGTGCTGACCTATCTTTTTTACTGTAGTTTTCGAAACAGAAACTGTTAGAGAACATCTGGGGGAATTAAAAAAAATGGTTCGATATATTTATATTTATATATATTTTTTTCAATCTTTAAGAGTCACCCTTTTCCCATTCTCGCGTTGCTTCTCCACACGGGCGATGATAGTAAGTCGAGTGCAGACTGGTCACTAACGTTGCCTGCCGCCATTTTTGTTAAGTCAGTTACAGTTTGCTTGTTCCTAACTCCCTGGGAGATTTATTCCGTGTTCATTTCATCTAGGTAAGACAAACTTATCTAGGGAAGTAAGTATAAAAGTGTTTATTAGCTGAATTCCTAAACTTAAGGGATAGTTCCCTCTATACATTG